TTCTTCATTGAATATATATTAATAATATCCTTCAAAGTTTCTTCTATGAAAGTCTTAACCTGGAAACATTGAGTCGGTCTTCAGGGAGTTCTGGTCTCTTTATAGTCACACTGTAATCTTAAGGGACTAAAGAAACAGTTAGGTCTTCTTCAATTTTATTCCTGAAAAATCCGAACTGTTCAATGAAGGAACTCCAGTTCTTCACTTAGAGATGTTCGCGCAATGTTCCCCTCTGGCTTCCGTTGCTTCTTTGTGCATACAAGCCAAGGGTGCATATTGAAACTGTAGAAACATCGCGGAATTCCTCTACAGCTTGAAATCTTGTCGACGAATCTCAGCTTCGGTTGCTTTCGTTGCACACTCTTCTGAATCTTCAGTTTTCATTCATTCTTCATTGAATAATGCGCTTAAATGTTTCTTCTAATGTTGTCTTAACGTACAAACTTCGTTTCTGTCTTCAGGAAGTTATGGTGCAATCGTGATCACTCTTTCAACGTTAAACTATGACTAATGTCTAAAATTTTAGCTCTCTGTTCAGTTTGTTTCATTTTTTTGTTCGTGTCATTTTTTCAATGTTTTCAATGAAAATTTTAGAAAAATTGTCTTCAACGTTGTTTCTATTGTAGTAAGCCTTGCAAGCATCGGGCCTGTTTTCGGGGAGTTAAAGTGCAAGCACACAAAGTCTCGCAAGTGATTCAATTCAAAATATGCCCACTAGTTTCGCATTATCCGCAAAAAATTAAAAAAAATGTATTATGAACATGTTTAATGCACCGAAGACTGTTGCATTAATACACTGTGAAGGCCCTAAGGTGTTACTCAACTCGACTCAACTCAACAGCAGGAATACTCAATTTTAACCAGGTGCGCACTGCTAAATGACACTCAAAGCTCACGCTACCAACACAAAATCTAAACTCTTGTACCATACGCTTGTATACACTTGTATACACACGGTTGTTGCTCCCATTGATCGGACTAACTCTACACATTTATCTATCTAGTGTAGAACAGGTAGTGCCTACGAGTGGAAAACGGCAGTGTTTACAGAGCTGGTGGTAAATAGTGTGTTGGGAATGGGCGGAAAGTGAAGCTACACCTGGAAAAATGTGGTAAGTTCCCTCGCCCGTACCTCTCTGAGCTGCGAATTGCCTCCAGGAAGCCTTGGCGATTCTTCGGTTACCCATCGGCCGGCTCACGATCAGCTCAACGTTCACCTCTTGCTTGCTCTCCGCAATGATATCGGCCACTTCCTGGTAGGACTTGCTTTGCAACAGCCTACCATTCCATTCAATCACTTCGTCTCCTGACATAAAATCGTTGAAAACTGGGGATTTTTAGGAAACCAACACTCCACTCACCTGGTCTGAGTTGGCCATCAACATCAGCTATGCTTCCCTTCTTCACTTTTTCGATGATGGCGCCCTTGGCGCCATTCTCCAACAGTTTGCCTCCAACGACTTTTAAGCCTAAAATCGCCGCACTCGAACCGCTGGCCTCCGTGTTGCCCCGTCTTAATATCATGTGCCCCAACATCTTGCTGCCGTCGGAGGAAACTTGCCATTGGTGCGGATGCTATGGAAACAAGTTCGCAATGGAGAGGACGCTACGTGCTAATGGAACTACATGGAAGCCGGGCGGTGCGCATGCAGCGTAAAATGCGTTCTTTAGCCTCAAAGCACTCAAACCCTCTACTAGCTGAACCAGTTTAGGCCAAAGCAGCCGAAGCCCCAAAAACACCACAGAGTTCCTAACAGTGCCAACGAACGAGTTTAATTGGAACAAAACAGGAAGCTGGTACATAAATTCTAGACCTGGAAAGGTGCCCAGGTTCCACTAAGTGGTTCTGTCGCTGATTAGAGTCATTCCTTGGAACGGGATTGAAATGGCCGTCTGGTTGAGTTGAGGCCTCAAACCTTTACTCCCCGATCAGAGGAATGACTCCAACTTAGAGGCAAAGCTGGATGAACCGTCCATGTGCTTGTCGGCCGCAAGAGTCAACTACAGGGACACAAATCTACACCGCATCGTCTACAGAGTGGCTCTAAGCACCTTTGGAAAGTCTCCTCGAGTCGAGTCCTCGCTGGAGGTAAAAGTGGACGAGGTGTCGATGCCGGAGTCGCGATGCGAGTCTTGCGACCCTTGGGAGCCCTGACGGCCATCCTGATGGTCGAAACGAACGGTTTTCTTCCTTCGGTCGCTTAAGCCGCGATTGTCGGCCGTCACGTCCTGCAGGGGCCGATGGGGCGGCGCCACTATATAGTGGCTAAGCGGCGGCCACTCTTCCGGCTCGTCCACGCCTAAAATCGGGGGATCATTGTCTCTCCTTTCAACTAGGTGGGGCTTTATGGGGGTCATTGATTAACGCGCTGACTGTCAGTGGGAAGCTGTTTATTTTTTTTCTTGGGTAAATTAGGAGATTTTCCTCATTTGGATGATGGCACCGCCACCGGACATCGACTTGCCGGTCCTGGGAGCTTTTGCCGTTTAACGCGCTTGACTGTACTAGAAAGTACGAAACTCTCGGCGCTCGTAAGGGTGGAAAACGTGGAGGATTCTTAAAGGGGAAGAAATCTTTTACTATGGATGACCCAAAGCCACCAGAGATCTACTTAGGAAAAGTCTTCAATTTTTACCATTTATCGCGCTCTTCAAGAAGGAATTTCGAGGTTTCACTCCAAGCGGAAGCCTGCCATTGTCTCACGAGCACATTCAGGAAAGGAGTTAACAATGTCGAAGACCAAAGATGAAAACCTTTGCAGGGAAAACGCACTTAACTCAGCTCAAACCTTGAGGATTGAGGAAAACCAGATTTCTCCATCTGCCCTTACCCAGATAGCACACAAATATTGCAGTAATATTTTTTTGCAATATTTAATATAGGTTGAAACGACAGATTCTTAAATATTATAACAATATTTCTTTGACATTTGGATCAGATATTTGAGAAATATTATTTAAAAATATATATTTTACACTTAAACCAGATATTTACGAATTGTTTTTTTTGCAATATTTAATATAGGTTGACGCGACAGATTCTTATATATTATAAAAATACTATCTGACCTGGCAAACGTTGTATTGCCATATAAATTATTGCTAGGGTTTTTTTTCCTCTCGAGTGGGCGGTTTGCCCATTTTAGATTTTTTTAAAATTTTATTTTAAATTTATTGAATTACTAATATAGCTATTAAAAATAGGGGTTTATGGCAGCACCCATATCACTTAGGGGTATAAAAAATAGATAACAACCTATTCTCAGACCTACTGAATATACATACAAAATTTTATCAAGATTGGTCAAGCCGTTTCGGAGGAGTATGGTAACTAAAACTGTGACACGAGAATTTTATATATATAGAGATTTCTGGTAAATATTTATTTGACATTTAAATCAAATATTTAT